AAATATCAGGTGTGTTTTCTCCATTCTTCACTTTCTGCAAGCAGTGAACTGTGGGTTTTGGGGGGTCCCTCTGTGCCACCTGGTACACTTCTTTGTCCACCGGGCAAAGAGGCCCTGACTAAATCTGATCTGTAAAAACTGAAGGAATTTGTTTTTGATTGTTCGAAAACAGTGTGAGTGATGGATACACCCACTACACCAGTTATATTTAAGCTGCACCGTCAATATCAATGAATTGCCATTGCAGTGGTTATTTCTATTTGGGCTGTTGTCCTTAATTGGTAGACCAAATAGGGGAGACTGGGTATTTATATATTTGTAAAATTAAGAGAGTTGTAGTGCCGCCAATCCCACCAATCAGAGATGAGATAGGACTCATATGGTCACTTCAGTGTCTACCCACTTCCATTCCTGATTTCATATGATGATTGACATGGCGGGAAACAACTGCGTGTAGATTTTATTGGGGTGGGGTGGGGTGGGGGGGAGTACAAAAGTAATTGTTTTGACCAGCACTAAATTTTGTTTATTATCCAAATCCCAAAACCAAATTCAGTGTATTTATGTAGCACATTTAAAAACAGAAAGTTTGCCCAAAGTGCTGTACAGAAACAAAAGGATAAAACACAAGATAAAACCACTGCCACTCACATAAAAACATAATAATACACATGATAAACATATCAACTCACACCAGTCTGAACGCTATTGAAAAAAGGTGTGTTTTCAAAATGAAGATCCCTGTCTAATATTTAAAGGCAGCGTATTCCAAAGTTTGGGGGCCATAATTGAAAAGGCTCGTTCTCCTCTACGTTTTAGCCTAGATTGATTTTGGGACAACCAACAGCAGCTGGTCAGCTGATCTAAGGGTCCACGAAGGAATCTAAGGCTGAAGTAACTTGGAAAGGTATGGGGGAGCAAGACCATTAAGGCATTTATAAATCAGCGCTTTGAAATTAATTCTGTCCTAAACAGGAAGTCAATGAAGAGAGGACAGGATAGGTGCTTGTGGGTACCAGTCAAGAGGCGGGCAGCAGCATTTTGAACGAGCTGAAGACGTGCAACAGATTGTTGGCTGACTCCAACATAAAGTGCATTACAGTAGTCAAGCCGAGTTGAAATAAAGGCATGTATTACCTTCTCCATGTCACGTCTTGACAAAACTGGCTTCAGCTTTGCTATTTGCCTCAACTGGAAAAAGCTTTTTTGCAACACAGAACTAATATGTTTGTCCAATTTAAAATCTCAGTCCATAATGACTCCCAAATTTGTCACATGCTATTTGCTATAATACCCTAGCCAACCACAATTCCCAAGCGGGTTGCATGAAATATTATTAGGTCTAAATACAATCACCTCCGTTTTACTCTCATTGAAACTCAAAAAGTTCAGAGCCATCCAAGCTTTGACTTGGTAGTCAAGGTAGCTTCAAGGTAGTTCAAAAAAATTGGATGGAGCCATTTGGTGCTAAAGGCAAATAAATTTGGCAGTCATCTGCGTAGCAATGAAAGGATATTTTGTGTTTTCTGAAAATAGACCCCAAAGGGAGCAGAAAACAAATGTCAGTATTTTATGTAAAAGTCTGAAAACTGTAGTGCAAAAATTAATTGAGTTACAGATGCTAAAGCAAACAGCCAGTCTCCCCTACATGTGTTTGCACACATGTGAAATGACACTACGCACAGAGGATGTTTAACTGGTCCTTTTAAGATGATCTGCCTGCTCTGTGGTTACATCTCCACTGAATTTTATTCTTGTTTACTTTGCACAAGCTGATGATCACTTCACATCCTTACAAGTCACTTAATACAAGTCCTGTACCCAGAAACCTTGCAAGCTACAGAGAACTAGTTTACTTACTGATATACAGGATAGTGTTTTCATGCGTGACAGTAACACAGACCCACCAATGTTTAAGTACATTTTTACAGTGTAGTTTGAGGGATTTGTGAAGAAAAATTATCAGTTCTATTCAATTCAATTCAATTCAATTTTATTTATATAGCCCCAAATCACAACAAAAGTTGCCTCAAGTCGCCTTCTGAAGAGTATAATATAAAAAAAGAATTCTAAACTTAAATAGTAAACTTTTCACTGCACTCGATGCAGCCTTGTCAAAATTGGAGTACACTCGATGATTAAATAGTTTATAGAACCACCTTTAGCAGTGATAGGTTGATGTAATCACTTGCTATGGAATTTTATCACTCTCGTATCACTCTGAAGGAATTTCCACTCTTTGCTTCAGTTCATTGGGGTTTGAGGACATTCATTTCTGCAAGGTCCCACGATCAGACTGAGGTCTGGACTTTAACCGGGTCATTGCAACGCCTTGATTCTTAAATTTTTCTGCTATTTTGTTGTGAATTTCCTGCTGTGCTTATTTTGGTATGATTGTCTTGTTTCATAACTCAATTTTGGCCAAGCTTTCAGTCAGACAAATGGTCTCACGTTTGCATACTTTAGCATAGAGAGTGGTTCATAGTTGACTCACTGACTGCAAGTGCAAAGTCCTGTGCCAGCAAAACAAGCCTGAATCAACAACCTGCCATCACTGAACTTGACAGTTGCTATAAGGTGTTTGTGCTGATATGTTATGTTTGGTTTACACTGCGCATCACAGTCAAATAGCTCCAATTTTGGCTTGTCTGTCCAAAAGATATTATTCCAGTAATTTTGTGGTTTGTTCAAATGCAACATTTGGAAATGTACATGTTGTCTGTTAGGAGTGCTCCCTTAAATGTTGCGTCATTAGAAAGCCTTGCTTGTGCTCTTGACAGTAGGATTCATATAGATTGCATAAATTGTACTTAACGTAGAGATTATGGTCGCCTCAGAGGACAAGGATGAATTGCTGAGTCCTAGGAGGATAGAAATATGTTTTTTTAAAAATCCCCCTGAGCGTGAGATTTGACAGGTGGGGCAACTGTAAAGTCAGGTTTCCAATTAGAGGTAACGAGATAAGAGATAACTCTTTATTGTCATTCCTCAGTCTAGTACAATAGTACAACAAAATTGGAAACTGTCCCACTCGGCATTACGCACAACACAACACAACAACACAACACAACAAAAACAAGACAACACAGTAACTTAACTTAATTAATAAAAAGAAATAAAAAGAATGACTGTATGAATAAAAAGAATGAGTCTATGTTTTTATTACACATTGTTGTTGTTATTATTATTATTATTATTATTATTATTTTATTGGCCCCCCAAAAAGTCCAGGGAGGTAGCCAATCAGGTCAACTGTTAGCACTGATTAGGGCTATTGCCCTATTGTAAAAGCTGTCCTTGAGTCTGTTTGTCTGCGACCTCAGCAGCCCGAATCTCCTGCCCGACGGCAGCAGCTTAAACACCCTGCGGATGCTGCGTGCCCTCTTGAGACAGCGAATGCTGTACAGGTCCTTCACATAAGGATGAGGATGTCCAGTGATTTTTGGGCCATATTAATGACCCTCTGAAGTGCCTTTTTGTGTGCCATGGTGCAGCTGAAGAACCGTACACAGATGCAGTATGTCAACAGACTTTCAGTGGAGCAACGGTAGAAGACGATTAGCATCTCCTTCTTCAGGTCCATTTTTCTGACGGTTCTCAGAATATGGAGACACTGTTGGGCCTTCTTTAAAACTGCCGAGGTGTTTGAGCTCCATTAGAGGTCTGTGTCTATGTGCACACCCAGGAACTTAAAACTGGACACCCTTTCCACACACTCCCTGTTGATGTTGACCAGCTGCAGCTCAGACTTCCTCCTTCTGAAGTCGACTACCAGCTCTTTTGTTTTGATGGTATTGAGGTCCAGGTTGTTGTCTGCACACCAATCCGACAGCCTCTGAACCTCAGACAATGGTGTCTTCAGTTGATCTAATAGCTCTGTATGTGAACTGGAGCGGGACATTAGTTTTTATTTTCATTTCACTTAGACTTTTGTTTCAGTTTAGTTTCTGTTAGTTTCCAGAGTGGACTTCCTCATTTCAGTATAGGTTTGTTTTTTTTTTATGATTAATATTAGTTTGCATTAGTTTCAGTGTTGGTTTTTCTGTTTTGTTTTTTGTAGTAATTTCTGTATGGAAAGCATATGCAAGTAAAAGTCAGTGAAGGGATTACAATAAAAAAACAGATATTGTTGAAATGAGATGACTCCCAGTGTTGTAGACGTCAAAGCTACATCAGGAAAGTTGTAATAAAACATTTACCTAACGTAAAAACTACTTTGTTAGATTTAGCCAATTAAAAAATGTGTCAGGTTTAGAAAAATATCACCGCTTGCGCTGAAATCCAACCCTTCGCTGTTTTCTTGGTTGCCCCGCTTGCCTGGACAAATGTATACTTCCTGTCGAAATACGTAAGTCACAAAGTTGTGCTGCTTGTCACGAAAAACACTTGAAGCTCCCTATCCACGAACACAAACGCCAACTATTTCATGTTTTTTGCCGAGAGACCGGGCTGGTTTTGAACGAGGCATCCAAATGGGAAATGACGTGACCGCTGTCGCCATCTTTTGCTGGGTCAGTGTATTTACTTCCATGCAGTCTTTCCCAGGTATCGTAATCTCCCAGTTTTGTTTTTTGAGTGATTTGTTTACACTTTA